TTGAGTTCAAACTGCAGAGTTGAACACTGATCAGAATTGGGTTAGTTGTTCAACGCCGGTCATAAAAAATAAAATAAAAGAGCAGAATACAAAGTTGATAGAATTAATAGTTTGGAATTTAAGAGAGTTACAAATATTTTATACATCAATAGTACAGTTTTCGTACTTATACTTATTTAAGCTACTGGAATTGCTATCTGACAAGTGAGGTATTGTTTCTCACATATTTTTTACGCTAAAACAAGTCTATAGAACTAATTGTGTTTTTTTTTTCTTTTTTTTTGTGAAAAAGTACGCTGTAAAAGTGTTGTGATTTTTGCAACAAATTTTGATGTTTTTTTTTGCGGCACCCTTGTTGGTAATAATAAATACATAACGCGAACGGGGAGGAGCCTCTTTACTGTTTACGGGTCCTCGCTAAACTGTTCAACCGTAAAGTGCTCGACTTCGCAAGTAGGTCGTCCGGCTACCGAAGCGGGGGTGCCATTCCCTCTGCAGAGGATCAAAATTGTGACGGTATGTCTTCGGATCATCCTCAGGGATATTTCCTAGACAGTCGCCAATAGCCCATTGTGTAGCTCTAGTGCGATGTAAATAAACTACAACAACAATAGCATATGTAACAATAAATAAGATTAGAGAGACCTCCCTGGACACTCTGTTAAGCTTGAAAGTATTTGTGATGTCCTCTGTCCTTAATAGTCCCGCAGTGGACTGATCGTTAAGACACGATTCCCAGCAGATCACCGAAGTCAAGCATCACTGGCTGCGGTCAGTGTGCGGGTGGGTGACCACTTGGATCAGTCTGCGTAGGGACCGAGGGTGTGCGGTATTGGTCCTCGTTAAACTGCTCTACCGTAAAGTGCTCGACTTCGCGTGCAGGTCGTCGGACTACCGAAGCAGGGGCACCATCCTCTCTGCAGAGGATCAAAATTGTGATGGCATGTCTTCGGATGATCCTCAGGGATGTTTCCCAGACCGTCGCCAATAGCCCATTGTGCAGCTCTAGTGCGACGTAAATTAACTACAACTACGCTGTCCTTAATAAAGAAACCATAATTGAGCCTGCAAATGTTCCAGTAAACAATATGATGAATAAGGTTAGGGAAAATGTAATTCTATAAAGTTTAGGAAACCAGTTACAATAAGAAAATCTGATGTGAAAGTAGCAATCAACGTATGCTTTTCTTTATTAAGTGTAATATAAGGCATTTTGTTTTATAGTAAGTATTGTTTATTCATTATTTAAGAAAATTGAACTTTTTTGTTGCTCATTTTCTTAATTATTTTAGTTTGGAGAGTGTTAAAATTTGGAATAAATGCTCTGAATATTTGGTAAGATGTGAGTGTTTATAGTAATAAGAATCTTATTATGCAATGTTTGCATGAAATTTTTTTTTATAAAAAAACTCTTTCATTGTAATTTAGTATTTCAATCGTATTAGACAATTTATGTCTAATTTGAACATAATCAAAATTCCCAAAATTATATAATAAAATATCCTTTCTGAGATTTTTAAAAAGTCCTGAATTAAAATAAAGTTTTTCTTAAATTAAAAAAGTGAAACAAAAAGTTGACATTTGTAGTGTCATGGTTTTAAGTTTTTCTTGTTTTTATACAAAATAAGATGCAAGCAAATTTTTTTTTCTGTTCAAAAGCTCTTTAAAAATTAAAGAAAAAAAACTTAAAAAGAACGAAAAAAATTTATAACAACTTTTCACATTTTAAATGGTTCTGGTTTTTTTTTCCTCATTTGGTTTTTTTTTCTATGTGTCTTTCTTTTTTAAAAATTGTCAAACTCTGTTGACTACCGAATTATGCAAATTCAATTTTCCGTCTTTCCAAACTAAGATTTTAAGTTAAATGCTAGAACAAGTTAAATACCTGTAATTTATGACTCGTATAGCAACTCAGATAGTAGCTAATCACCTAAATATTTATAAAGCCTGTTAAAAAGAAGAATAAAATTTAAAAAAAAGATGAAAAGATATTACACAAAAATATCAATGAATGTAAAAGAACAAAATTAAATGAACTTTATAATCATTCTATTGCTTTATTATGAACTATTATATTATGGATATAATATAAAGCTCGCAATCCTTTTTTATTTCTTGACCTTAAACTGATTGTTCCAGCAAAATTAAAAATTATTCAATGAAAAGATCTCAAATATTATAGTACCACAGATAAGGTACCTCAAACTTTTTGATTCGATTGAAATTTGAACTAAATCAGTTTTCTCGGCTACTACCGCAACTTCATCAACAAACTTGCTTTTTACATTTGTATTTAATTTCTGGTTACTATAGAAACCGTTAAATGTTTTTTTGCAAAAAAAAGATTCTTTAGCTATAGTTTAAAAAGTTTACTTTTAATATTGCTTTACAATTTTAAATATTTGTTTTGTATTAATTTTTTTTTTGATTGCATATGTTAACTAGACACAGTCTTTACGCAGTTATTTATAATAAAAGTAAATATAACGTTTCATAATTATGAGTGGTAACTAAAGATATTTAAAATAAAATGGATATTCATAGGATTGCTTTATATCATAGGATAGATAGAGATATTATAGGATTGCTTTATAATAAAATAAAGGACCACCACTTTTTGCTTTAAGCCTTTTATTTTGAATAACAATCAAGGCCATTAACGCAGTAATAGCAGAGAATAATATAAGAGCTGCTAGGAGGCATTAGGTTTTATTATAGAAAGAAAAATCGGGATATTTACAGGACACTCATTTTCTAGATATGTAAATTTGTCCGACAATTTATTTCCCGTGTGGATGAAAAATGGAGTTTGGTATAACTTCATTGAAAACGTCTGATCGGAAGTATATTTTTCGAGATATTACAACCTGTATAAAATAAAAAAGGATAAACGTGGTGGCAGACCCGCTGTCAGTTAGAGAAGATAAGTAAATCACAGGCACTTACTTATCACTCTAAAGTTCGCAAAAAAAAAAAAAAAAAAAAAAAAAAAAAAAAAAAAAAAAAAAAAAAAGCGAATCATTCTGAATAACTTTTTATCCAAAATCGGATTTTCACGTACCCAATCGAATTTTCAAAAATCAATTGGAATTATCTTTGGATAAACGAGTTTCATAATTGCGTGTAGTAATTTTTCAATTCGCTTAAAAAAATTCTCGAAATATTGCAAAATAAGCAAAAAGTGGAATTAATATTAAGGGGTTCAAACTTTCGATCGCTCTCCTGTGCATATTTCCCAGATTTCGGCTTTATTTTTGAGACAGGAATCATAATTTCTCGGAAAAAGAATTTTTTTTTTCAGAAAAAGTACATTTTTGTGTCTGATTTCGCAACTTTCAATATCGTTCGCATCAACTAATTAGCATATTTAAGATCAATTCCTCGAAACATTAAGACTGACTCATTGTGTGTGTAAATCCGATCATAAGATCGAAAGTTATTCAGTGTGTTTTTTTTTTCGCACTGTACTTTAAACGAGAACAACTCATTTCTAGTTTTTATTCAAACCAGGAAATTCTGATATTGAAGCATATGTAGAGAATGCGAATAAAATTTTTAACTGTACATAACTTTTAAAAAATAAAATCCTTTTTGTACATGTTTAGCTTTTTGTCATGTTTACCCCCATCGCGCTTTTAGCAGAGAGTATTAAAGTATTTGTTGAAATTAGTTGGAGCTCACTGCAAAAAAGCGAGTTCCTTTGAATAACATTGCAAAATTTATGCACAATCAATATTTTCATTTTATGCTTCCTTTACAGGAGACAACTATTTCTTTTATGTTCCTTAAATAGAGTTTCTCGGATTACCTGAAACATGGGTCAATAATTTTATAAAATATTTTGTAAGCCAAAATGATTGCTAAGTTTTTTCTAAGATAACTAGAGTAATTGAAGTCAATTCTGCTGTGTCAATTTTGGACGTTACCTTTTGCTAAACTGTTTTAAATTAAACTATGAATTTCATTGTTTTAATAAAGATCACCTTTTTTAATACTATGGTTGCTTTAAAAACACATTTCTAAACCTTTATTTCTATTTAAGATAATTTCATCATAAATTTTTATATTTCATAGCTTTAATCACCAAACTCATAATTTTAAGTTTTATTTCTTATAAATATTTTTGTGCATAATCTCAAAAGATTCTTTTATGGTTAGTTTACTTCATAGAGTATAATCCTGTTTTATTTTTTACTATTTTTCAAATTCCCTGTTGTTTCTTGTATAGGGTAATAAAGACCACCAACATTTTTCTACAAAACAGATTTTTAGTAACCTCTAGGTGGAACAAGATGCGTCGAGTTCAGAAGAGAACTAGAATAATTTAGCCTTAAAAAGAATGATTCACTGAAACTGTTATTGATTTCGTTGTTCTGTACCTCGGTTTACATAATTTAGTAAGAATTTTAAACATGTTTAGAACAGCCTTTTGATACTCCTTCACCAAGTTTCCCCATATTGTAGGGTAACTATAACCACAATGTTTTTTTGTTTTTGTCTTGAACATGCATGATTTGAAAAACTTTTATGCGTGTAAATATTGAGTATAATTGAGGGTTCTATTTTAACAGCAATCTCTAAAATTCTTTTAAATTGGCGGTTGACTTAAATTTGAAAAGTGACCTTAGCAACCTTGAATGATGGTATGCACGCAAAACCGTTTATTAGTGTAAGCTTAAAAAATTTCTTTAATTTTATAAATTTTTGGAAAAATGTTTCGTCTTTTACTTTTAATATTTTTATACAAAAATATTACTTGATCATAAAAGTTAAATACTTTTAACCCTATGTCAGTGGATACGCAGTACATATTTAGTTTGTAATGAAAAAAATAAATACATTCATTCTATTGCGTAAGAGAAGAAAAAGTTTCGTTAAGGGATATTGTAAAGATCTTTTTTAAACACCTATCTCCGAATTGATAACAATTTGTTTGTAATTCAACAATGACAATGATAAGAATCCAAAAATTATAAGCGGTATAAAAGGCTGCGTAACACAATATTCGTTCATTATAATCTATCCTCATGTGATGTATTCATTAAACGCGTGTTGGACCTACAAAAATCTTGTCCGAAGACGGCAAAACAGAAGAAGGACTTTTAGTACTAAAAATAAGTTTCTAGTTAGGAGACATAGAAGACGGTCTACATTGATACCTAAAAGTTGAGGCAGAAAGCAATATTTTTTTCCAAGGTACAATGGGGGAAAATTGTTCTTACAATAACAGTTGGTTGACCACCAACAGTACGTATTTTAACGCTTCAGTGGTAAGTTGCTTCATGTGATCTTTAAATATTAAAGATAATTCACTAAATGAGTATTTTAAGGAATTTAAGCAGATTTTTAATTAATTATTTTTTGAAATCAAAATTTTCTTTCCTGTGGTTTGAAGATTTAGTGCAGTTTTATTCATCAAATTTTTGGAAATCCATGCACATAAACGTTAAATAATAACTAATTTTATATATCAAGGAAAGACTTTTTTAAAAGAGAAATATTCTTGTTTTCTAATTATTTATTACTTTGTATTGCGGTAATTTAAAAGACTTACATATAGACTTACATATTAACTTACATATGAAAAAAGCATTTAAAATCTAAATTAATAAATGTTTCCTAAATTCACTATCTTTTCTTATGATCTAATATTTGGGACAGCTTTAAGACGATTATCATAAGTTTTGGATGATTACTATTTATAAAACTCTTCGTTTCGTGAACTCCTTTTTTGTTATTGCTGATTACATTTTTCTGCTTCATTCAAATAAGAATCTTTTATGAATATTATTGAAATTAATTTAAACAATTTTTATAATTTATTTTGCAGATTTTTAATATTTCTCCTCCCCAAACAAAAAAAAAGTATTTTCATAACCTTAAATCTCATGGTCCGTTTTTTGAGACACTATTTTTTGCAGACTAACTATGCAAAATAAGATTATGAAAAATAAATGATATTTTTTTGTTCATGGCTAATATCTTACGGGTATAGCGGAGAGTATTTTAAATATATTAAGTTTCATTTGATTCCATTACAATAAATTCTCAATAGAATTTTTTTCCCTAAAGCAAGATTTATTACAAGATAGAGAAAATATAATTTAAAAATAATATTTAAATGCTTAGTTTTGAAAAAAAAAATTCATTCAAAAATTCAAAATCAATTATGGCACTTTTAATTAAGGTCATTTTCCACTGAAACAATTTTTTCAAAAAAAAAAAATTCATTAAGAATTTGATTTTTACTTGCAATGTTATTAGATATTTTACAAAATAATGGAAACACTTCTATTCTAATTCATTTCAAGAAATAATTATTTTTTAGGGGTTGGAGAATTATTAGGTCATCTCATTCACATCAATAAAGTTTAAATCTCTTACAGGATTGAGGGGCCGGCAATAAATTAAGAATGAAAATAACGTCTATGAACACCAAACAATATAGAGGTAACTTATATGAATTACGTTGGTTATTATATGCAATAATCGCAACATTTTTATAAACCTAGCTTAACTAATCATGAAGATTTGAACATTTTTATAAAAAACAAATTTTTTGGACTTCTTACTGTAACTGCTGAAAAAAATTCAATAAAATTACAAAAATATTTAGAGTAATTAATAATAAAAATATTATTTTAAGATTTGAAAAAGAAATCTGTAAAAATTGCGCAATATATGAGCATTTAAAGTAATCCTTATATAATACTGCGCATGCGTGGAAAACATTAAAAATTTTTTCATAATTTTGTTTAGAGTCGTATTTGGTAACATACTAAAAAAATTCGATTTGAAAATTTTGAAAATGTAAAAGGAAAATTTTTAAGCAGCTATTGTGCTTTTTTCATCGAAAACTCTAAACTATAAGGAGTTTTCCACAAATACCATTTTGTAATATAAAACAAAATTTACTAACACCATGTCATTTTTAATAAATCTTGCTTAATAATTGTTAAATTAAATTTCTAGAAAACCCCTTTCCATTCAAAGCTTACTTTCCAAATTTTAAATTTCTTAAATTTTTAAATTTATATTTTACTTAGAAACTTTTTAAATTTTCAAGAGATTCTTTTTAGAAGTTGCCAAATGCGATTTAAATTAAATTTATGAAGGAATAAAATGTCTTCCGAGAAGGTGCACTATAAAAGGGTTACTTTAAATATTCATATCTTGCTCAGTTTTTAACGAATTTTGTTTTTAAATTTTACAATAATATTTTTATTATTAATTAAAAAATACTTTGAAATTTTATTTAGTTTTATTGAATATTTCAGCAGTTATAGTAAGAAGACGTAAGTTTAATGAAATTGTCTATATCTTCATGAATATTTAAGCTAGGTTTGCGAAATTTTGTGCAGTTATTGCATATAATAACCAACGACACAATTTACAAGCGCATTATTGCATTGGGTGTTAAAATGCTTTTTTTTGTTCGTAATTAATTGCCTCAAACCTTTAGAAACTTTATAGAAATGCTTGAGAAATCACATCACCTAAACATTTCTAAAGTTTTAAAATAGTTAATAAAAAGTATTTCTTGAGAAGCATGAAAAAAATGAGTTTAGAAGTGTTTCCATATATATATACACGTATAATGTAGATGTATGTGTATCGCTTGCACATACATCTACAATGCATAAGAAAGTTAAAATAAAAATCATTATTCCTTTATCGTCTGTAAGGAGACATTTGTGGACCAAATTTTAATAGTTAGATTCGTAAATATTTATTATTCAATATTTATGAGTGAGGAATCTAATTGTGAAGAAATTTATCGTAGTTTTCAAATGATGTTTAATAGAAAAAAATGTAGAAATGTGAACTAGGTAAATGAAAGAAATATGAAGAAGAGTTATCACAAAAATGACCTAACACATGTTACCTAAGTTACCCAAGCTGATTTTTCTATTTCTTTTCCACCAATCTTTCAATTTTTATTTGTCTCCTCTTTTTACAAGATTAGAAATAAAATCAATGCTTTCTATAGTGGCATTATATTTATCATAATATATGCTTAAAGGTTAAGTTTGCCAGGAGTATAGTTTAAAGCTGTTTTTCGAAGATTTTGACGGCTTTTTTGCGAATAATATGCCATAGCTGCTGTGAGTTTGCAACTGTTACTCATGACAGTTAGGTCAAGTTTAGGCCATAGTTCTCTAAGGTTATTCTGAAAATAGCAATATGGAAAAAAGTCTTAGTTTTGTGGTCTAATTTTTTAAAACTTAACTCAATGATGGGCTCACAAAGATTTGAAAAAAATGAGAATTACGGCAGTGATTTCGATAATTCTCATCTAGGTGGAATTTTTTTTTTATAAATGCAATTTTTAAAATAGTTTAATAACTTTTAAAATATTCAAGTTATTTGCCCGTTCTAAAGCTCAGATAATTCTTCATTGCAAGATGGTATAGGTAGTTTAAAACGATAGCTTTCTTGCTTTAAATGTAAACTGTGGCTTTTTATTTTCCTTGTCGAAAGAGTTTCAAAAAACCATGTTAATTATTTGGCGAGCTTAGTAATCAGTCGCCAAATCAATAAATTACGAAAATAGCTATTTCTGCAATACAATATTACATCATAAAGTAATATTAATAAAAAGAAAAAAGTATTAAATCTCTGAAAACTGTTATATTTTATCCAATATTCATCATTTAAAAAAACAATTTAGTTTGAAAAAAAATTCAATTTCGTATGAGGGTGAAATTGACTTAGCGGTTTTTGATAAGTCTAAAACCTCTAATGTTAATTTATTAAGATATTCAAGTGGCTGCTTTTAATAAAATTACGATGCAGACAAATACTATTTGAAAATATTTCAAACTGTTCACCATTTTTGGAGAATATTTTACTTTTAGTGACTATTAAACTTTTTCTATTTCATGAAAGAAAGTTTTTATTTTAGTTCAATGTCTTCAAGTTATTTTTACCCTTAATAGTTACCTCCAATTATATACCCAATTGTATTGCCTACTCAGGGCATTTTGACCCATGGGTTGCTATTGAAATTTATTTTACGATACCTAAATTTTCTAAATAATTATAGAATTAATACCATAGTGCCATTAAAGTTTTAAAAAATAACATTAATTTATGTTTGTGAAAAATTTGACGAATACCAGTTAAGATTTTCCTATCAAATGGAAATAACCAAAATTTGTGATAGATGCTAATTTGAGTCTTTATTTACATGTAGCCAAGAAGATAAGTCTGTAATAATTATCAATTTCGTGGCTCTGCTTCGTCAGATTATTAATTTTTCTTCATTTAATCTGGTTGTAGATATTTCATCAATTTTATAAACAAAAAGTGAATTATATAGTCTGTAAGAGCGTTTATGTTAGATTTTAACAAATTATAAAATAAATTCGATTTTTAATTCTAACATTGTCTTTAACATATATTCTATAAGGACGTGAAGAAATAGTCAAATCTGAAGTTTAATTTATCGATAACGCCTCATATCATTTATATCATAACTGCGAATTGTTCTGCGTTTGCCGAGCAAGCTTTTCATTTTCGTAACTCAAAAAATTACAAGATGATTATTATAATTATGAAAATTATTAAATTATGAGATGATAAAAATGTTTATGGAACACTCTGATACTAAATGTTATTGATCTCGTCAATAGGTATTTCATACTAAAGTTTAAAAAAAAAAAATTTTGTGGTGCGTAATTCAATTTAGCGAAAACTATTCGTAAGAAAATTATAATTTTTTTCAAGCCACGCACTCTTAGAATTAGAGATGAACAATGTCTTTCTCTCTGCTTAAATTTTTAATTGCACTTTGAATAGAGTCATTAAACTAAAAATATGTGCTTTCAATTGAATAACATTTCCACTTTAATATATTCATACTTTGCTTCATTTTCGAGTTATTTTTGGAGTAATGAAATAGTTTATAGTGTCGGTTTTTCGAATTTTTCGATTAAAAGGAAAACCTAAGTGCATTAAAATTCTTTTCAGCCATGTAATTTTAAAAAGATTTTTTTTTAACTTTAGAATTAGTCTTTGAAACATTTGTTTGTTTTACATTATTCCGAAAGAGTGACAAAAATTCTTAATTTTTTTTTCTTTTTTTTTTGGACTTAATTAAGGCCAATATTCCTTTGGGATATTATATTTATAAGATGTTACAACATTTATATAAAAGCGACGCGTGTGTGCTGCGTCAGACTATTATAATCTTTCTTTTGTTATTTGCAAGGAATTAATTCACATTTTGAACATTTATTTAAAAATATTTACATGTTATTTAAATTTTTCTTTCATCCAGATTAAATTTGATAATTTAAGCGTATTATTATCAGGCAGAAATTAAAAGTGTAAATTTAATTTTTAAATTTTTCGACTTTTGTTTCCACGTCGGCTTATGGATTTGAATATTTATTTTTGATTCTAAACTTATGTAACTTTAATTTTATTTTACTTTAGGTTTCGTTTAGTGATAAAATCTTACTTAATACCGAGAAAAAAAAATCGAAGAATAAATAAATGAAATCTAAATGTCATTTTTTCGCAATGAATAATCATTTTTGGTTTAAGGCAAAATATATGTAATTATAATTTTATTTTGAATTTTTATTATATGTGTGTTATTTTAACTTTAATAAGTAAAAAAAATAAGTATCTAAAGTAAAGGTAATTCAAATGTTTAGATTTCAATACGTACTAAGAGCTGTTGCAACATTTTTTACTATTAATACTTATACAAATCTATCTTGTTCACAAAAATGAAATACTACTCAAATTGTTTAATTTTAAAGTAATTAATTTAAGATTCAAAATCATATGGCACGTTTTTGATATTCAATAATGTAAAATTTGTCAAAGTAAAAAAATGTGTTTATTAACTTTGGAATTTCAGTGTTTGGACGTAAATGAGGTGTTACCAGAATGCCGATGCCAATTTGCCGGACTTTTCGCCGATTGCGATGCCGGAATGGGATATGTTCATTACACAAAGCAAATGTATTGCCTATATGGTCCAGAAAGTGTACCATACGTCGTTGTCATGAGCGTAAGTATCGTTTCTTATTCAGGTTGATTAAAAATAAATCTGGCTATTTTCAAACTGTCATTTTGCAGCGTTATTGAAAAAATCTCCCGTATTTTCTAATCAGCCTGATTGTTTTTAGGACAATGAGTTCATATACCTTTTGGCTAATTAAATATATAATTAATAACTAAATTAAAGTGATTCATACAATGCATTTTATAATGAGCCCGCTTTAGTGATTTTTCCAATTAGCGTAGTCAAATAAAGACTTATTAAAATTTAATCAAAAGCTAAAGTTAAATATAAAATTTTGTCTTTTTTCTCTAATCCAAATGCTGGGGGAGTACAAGACTCCGTGCAAAAATCTTTAAGTAAACTCAAGCTGATAGAGTATTAGTTATGGTTATTTTATAATTAGCCTAAAATCATATGGGCTGATTGTAAGGTGCCTAAAAATGTCTAGATAGAAAATGCTGGAGACTTTTCCAATTGGCTTAGAGAAATGAAAAATGACGTCAATTGTTCGAAAAGAGCCGGGATTATTCAAATAGCCTATGACGTAAACATCTTTAGAATTGTTTGTTTAGTGAAACAAAACACTTACTAATTAACACATTTTTTCTCTCAATTTTATAATGCCATATTTCTTCTGTGTCTTATGGAAATTCAAATTAATAGCATACTCTTAAACAAATTATTTACTTCTATTTTTGAATTTAACAAAATTAAAGCATTTATATATTAAAATTTATCGAGATGAAGCTAATTCCTCTCTGTTAGGATATACTAGATTAAAATCTATTATGCAAATTCATATAAAATTATATACATTAATATTCCTCAAATAAATCGGATGAAGTTTATTCTGATTAAGATATCTGATTATAATTTATTTAAGGGGACTTGAAGCAAAGAGGTAAAAAAAATTCTATTTTCAAACTTAAAGAGTTTTAATTGATTGAAATTATAGGGCTTCTACACTCTCTTAATCAAGATAAATTTTGATACATGAATGATTTCGCTATGATAATTTCAGAAATAAAAATAAATTATTTGTCCGTGAATACGCAATGAACTTGCTTACTCACAGATAAGTCTGATTACGTTTTCTCTGATTAAGCTATCTGATTATAGCTTATTTGAAGGACTTATTGTAAGACAATGAAGCAAAAAAGTAGAACAATTGTATTTCAAATCTTTAGAACTCTCATATTCCTTTTCATATTCTAACATCATATTCATATAATCTCATATGATCACCTCGTATGACAACCTCGTATTCATATGCAAATCCATCTGTGAGTACGTAAATTCATTGCGTATTCAAAGACAAATAATTTGTTTCTAATTCTAAAATTATCATCGTGAAATCATTCATGTATCAAAATTAATCATAGTTAAACAATTACTTCTTTGTAAGAGCCGTAATAGATTTTATAATTTTGAAATTCAATTTTTGCAATATTTTTTTTTTGTTTCATTGTTTCACAATGAATCCTTCAGATAATATGCAATTTTTTTCTTAATCGGAGCTTCATTTAATCAATTAGATTTTATTTAATTACTGATGAAGCTTGATTTTAGAAAATAAACCCTACATTACGCAAAAAAACAAACAAAAAAAAACTGATCACCTAGAATAACTTTTGATCTAATGATCGGATCTTAACGTTCTGAGATTCAACTTAATGGTTCGAGGAGGTTATTTAATAAGAGCAGACGATAGTTTAAAATCTAAAATTAGATACCGAAACGTATTTTCTTCTTTGATGGGTTCTGATCCCCAAAATATAAGGGGTATCCGTATTTTGGGAAATATGATCCAAATAGTTTGGTCAGGACAGTGGTCCAAACTTTGGAGCCTTGATGCAAATTTTACTTTTTTCGTAGTTCGCCCTATTTCGAGAATTTTATAAGGTGCCCAGAATTTGGTCAGGAGAGCGATTCAAGATTCTGACCCCTTAATGTTAATTTTTTTTTTCTTCGTATTTCGCCGTATCTCGAGAATTGTTTAAACGATTTGAAAATTCTTTGCATACAGTTATAACTTTTGTTTTTCCAAAGATAATTCCATGAAAAAAAGTTTTTTTAGTAAATATTTATTATTTTTATTATTTCATTCAATAATAGTCGAAAAAGTTTTGAATTGTGAAGTATACAATTTTTTACATGACTTTAAGGAATTTAATTTTACGTGGTGAAATACAAAATTTCAGAGAATTCGGTCGGATAGTTCCTGAGAAGTTGAATATTAAAAACGTCGTATATTTAAAATTTGATTTCTCAAGAATTATTTGACCGATTTCGCTCAAATTTTGTAATTTGCCATGCAAAATTATGTTCTTCAAAATTATTAAAAAAAATTGTATACCTTACAATTTAGACTATTCTTGAATAAAATAATAAAATATAGTAAATTTTTATTAAAAGTTACTTTTTGCATGAAATAATTTTCTCATAAACGAATTTTATAATTGAGTGCAAAAATTTTCCATCATTCTCTTAAAGTTCTCAAAATATGGCAAAAGACACAAAAAGGGAAATTAACATTAACAGGTTCAAACTTTAGACCACTACGGGCCATATTCCCTACCCCTTATATTTTGGGGGTCAGAAATATGAATCTGCTGAAAAAATATGTTTATTCAGTGAAAGTTGTCGCCAATATTTTGGGGGTCAGAAATCTGAATCCGCTGAAGAAATGATCAGTGAAAGTACGTTTTTGTATCTGATTTTCAAACGTAAAATATTCTCTGTAATAATTAATTAGCATGTCTGAGGTCACCCCCTCGAACCATTAAGATTGAGTCGTAGAACGTGAAGATCCAATCATTAGATCAAAAGTTATTCAATGTGGTCAGTTTATTTTCTGTACCTTGCGTTTTAATGTACTAAAATGTCTTTTTTACATTTTCAAATTTAACGAGGGTAATTTCAATTTGCAAAAAAGAAAAAAAAGAGAAAAAGTATAGTTGTATCATTATAAAGAAAAGTAAGAATAAAATAGCGTGAGTGTTAAAAAGGTGTCATATAAGTGATATACTTTTGAACCAAGGAAACTGATTGTCTTTATAATTCAAGTGATAAGGAACGATAAAAAATAGACGCAGTAAAAATGAAAGATATATTCTAGCTACCGATTTGCCTCTGTTCTTTTTATCTCAGTGTTTCCTTAAGCAAATCTTACATAAAATAACATGATATATTCTTTTAAAGATATCTGACAGCTTTTTATCTCTGCAGTTAACATAACTTATTTTCTTATCTAAAGTACTTTATTGTGTCAGGAAAAACTCTTTCCAGATAATTTCAATTACGTACATTTAAAGAAAGGCGATAAATGGTTTATAATTGAAAACAACTCTTTTTTTTCTTCAAAATTTTTGTTGTAAATAAACAAAAGTCTTTATAGGAATAACTGATGAGGGAATTTTTTGACGACTTAGTTTGTTATTTATACATTCAAACCAGAATTTTGGTTCACTATAACTGGAATTTTACTTTATCCTTACTGCAAACAATTTTAACTCATTTTTCCCAACTTTTATTACACATTATTTAAACAAATGACCAATAGAAAGAAATACAAAAACGATTAAAAAATAATATGTAGTAGGAAAAAACTTTTTATTACTCTTCGTCTAGCGTACAAAAAATTTAGGGATGGGAAATTGAGAAGCAAAGAAGAAAAATTCCACTCAATAGATGATTTTCAAAATCGGTATTTCGTGTTTCAAAACTCAGTCGAAGATCTTCTTTTAGTTCTATGTGTTTACTATATCCGGGAATTCATTATAAACAATGTTCACTATACAGGGGTTATAAATGCTACAAAAGACACATTATTAGTTAGATTTATTATTAATTACTTTAGTAAGCGAAGCTTATTCTACATTGATATGAAGAAGAATTCGATCTTCTTCCTAATTTGAACAAAATATTAAGTTAACATTCTATACATGATTCGTAATTTAGAATTTCTTTCTTGCAGAAAGACGTAATATTTAAAAACAGTATATAGATTTTTCTAACATTTCGGAACATTTTAAAAAGTGCGATTTTTTGAATTGAGGTTTTATGACTTTGTAAATTAAAAAAGGCCCACTTCTAGAGGGGTGGGGAATTAAACCAGTGTTCAGGCCCAAATTCATCATTCATCCAAATTCATGTAGGGCCTTGAAGTTAACGTGTTGTGCTCAGTCTCATCGAATTTAGAAATCATCTTTTAAAATGTTTTTTCTTCTTTTTTTTTTTAACGTGAAGAATGATTTGACGGTAGTGACTAGTGGCCAAGGTTTAAAAAAAAACGATTTTTTATTTTAAAAAAATGCCGAACTTGGTAGGGCTTTATTGTTTTTTTGATTTTATTGGGCTCTTTTTGAGTTTTATTGTTTTTATTTAAGATATTACCTAGTTTAACACTTTTTAGGTTGAAATTTTAATTTTTAATTCAAAGAGGAACAATTTTAGTTAAAAAGAAAACTTTTACTGGAAAATAACTAAATAATTTATTAAAGCCATCTTTTCAAGCTGGCGTTAATAAATGACTCTTAAATTAATTGCTTCTTTGACTAGAAATGAAAGCATAATATTGGGATCAAAGAAATATGCTGTTTTATTTACTTGTTTTTAAATACTTACAATATAGTTTAATCTTTTTTGCTAAAATAAGTCTTTTGCAGGTCAGCTAACTACATAACTGCTGTTTATTTAGCAATTTTCTTCATAGTTTCTTGAATTGCTCTTACTATGTATATAGAATTAGTTTTGCTGTGATCAATTAAATAATTAATCAATCATGTAAACTTTTGTTAAGTAAAATTTATCAATCAATATTTTATCATAGTTTGAAATTTAACGAATTTTTATATTTAAATGATTATTTCGTAGCATTAAAATATATTTACTAACAAAATATTTTAATCCGTCCGTTTGTATATTTTATAAAACAAAAGTATTCTTTTAAAAAGAATTAAAGAATTCTATTTTTAATACTTTGTTATAATACTTATGTATGCTTATTTTATACGTTTTTGAAAACTTATTTATTAAGGAGTTAAAAGAAAGACAGTTATTCCAGCTTTCTCTGCACCTGTTCAATTCAAAACAAATAACATTAAAAAAATTCAAATAGTTGTTTAAAAAAGTCATTTTTCTTAATGAAACAAGAAAAATTATTATATTAATTAAGAGTTTCATACATCTAAATACACTAAGTTTTAAAAGTTGGGTTATGTATATTTGTAACTTTAATAAAAAATAATTGATATAAGAGCAGATTTTGATTATGTTTATAAAAAAAACCTTTTGAGACCGGTTGTTCAACGACGGATATAAACTTTCTTTTCGGGTTAGTCGAAAACCCTGCTAGTTGCGCCTCTTTAACCTTAATAACTTTTGATTTTCACTTACTAGTATACAATCCTTATGGACTGTTCTTAAATATGATAAAGTATTTGTTCAGATTAAGTGTAACAACGAATTTGAATTATTGACCCTCAGAATATGGGAAGAATATAGTTTAACTGGAGAATGGACCTTAATGTCCATGTTTCCGAATATCACTGTTGTCCCACAATCATAAAACTTGTTTAGTCAATTCTACTTTTAAAAAAACTACTATTTATTATTAGTATTTATTTTAACAATGATCAAAATTTTCTTTCATTTATTAGGTAAACCAAATTTTACATAATTTTAAATGACAAAATCCAAAATTTGAACGATATGAGTAAAAATTTCTAGAGAAATGAAAATATTTTTTTTCTATACTATTCAGGGTGAAAAAAGTTAAATTACCATGAAAGGATATTTTCCATTCTTAAAATTATTTGGACCATATTTTCCAGTATGCATCTCAGCCCAAATTTTAATTCCACGAAAAGGTACGGTAGATTTCGTAGCTTAAAATATCGTCAACACAAATATTTCAGCATATTTAAAGTCATTGAGATTTCATCTTAGTATTATTAAAGTGATTGCTTTTTATTTTGCGCATTAGTGCTTGGCCATAGCGGAATATCTTCAGAAAATATCGATATTTTACGATATATCGCGATATTTTTATTACATTTAATATGCACTGGTGTGCAAAACTTAAGCAACAAGTGGTTTTTCGGCCACAGCTCCCCAACAAAGTATAAGATAGCCATGAAATTGCAGTATAATATGCACGTAATTCAGTAGAAAGATTATTTGTATGCAAATTTTAGAAATAAAACGTCGTAGGTGATGTAAGTGT